CCGTGTTTTAATCATTACTTGTGGTCCAAAAACTGTTTGCTTTGAAGCAGATAAGATTGTCCCCTTTTCAATTTAAAGGTTTACTCAATTGATTTCATATTTATTTTCATGTTGTTCTCCAGTTTCCCGTGAGTTATTCTAAGAATTTTTCTCTATTCCAAAAATTCCCTCCGAAAGACATTTCTGTTCATATGGCAAATGAAGACACCCTCCGTTTCGCCTGTTTTGAAATGTTTCAGGATGGTTTCTAGCTGTCTCTGTGTGTCAATTTTGTTAGCCTAATTGCCATATCGTTTGAACGACATGTCTGACAAGTATGAAATCTAATAAGTTTCGTTTTGGTCAAAATTTTAAAAAAAGCATAAAATTGAGAATTATTTTATTGCCGAAAGGCATGAGCAACGGTTTTCTCATTTCGACTAATTCCTTATTTTTTCACTCTAATAAAACAAACTGTCATTTACGGATATTTTGATACAAGAGACAATTGTGAACAAATAAAAATTGGGCAGTGAGACAACTCAAAGTGCAATTGGGTCATACATGTTGCGTGCTTTTCAGTTCCGTGTCACGGCTATTTGGAAACTACCTTGGTAGTTGTCGGCGCGAAGTGTGCCAACTGCAGGACAACTCAGACAACATTTTTCCAAGTTGTTGTCAGTAACAAGTTAATCTAGTGCATTTTAGAAAGATCGGACAACTGAAAACCGACTAAAGTTTTTGCAAAAAATATGCACAGTTTTCTTACGGCTTTTTTTTCCAGTCATTTTTTTTTGAAATAAACTATCAACTGATATGTTCCAAGATTTAGTCCGAATCAGTTTAGTGGCTCTTTTCTTAATTGATGGCTATTCATATTTCGTATACAAACAAAGATAGTCGGTTGCTGTGCAAGTAGCACAGAATGTTCCGACCATTCATGAAAGAAAAACACAGATAGTTTTTTTTTCTTCAAATTTGTTTGCACTTTTAAAGCGTAGTGTGATAAGAGAATTATACAATTGCTTTGAAAGTTAGTGATTTAGACACAATAAAGATCATTTTTATTCAAAAATGAACAAACACACAAAAAAATATTTTGTTCATTATTTTTTTTAAAATTTTATTGCCTTGGAAGCGCTAATTAAAACTTCCACAAAATTTTTTCTCAGTAAAATCAAGCTTTCTTAGCCTCAAAACCTAAATAAAGATTAAATGCTTTTATAGAGAACGTTACTCGATTGGTTTAATTGCTCAAAATTCAGCTCAAATTCAAAAATAGTTAACCCGTTTTTTTCTCGAAACTTGGCCAATTTTAGAAAAAAATTAATGTTGTTCGAGTCACTATTAAAAGGCTTTAAAATGATATATCATTCGATTGAATCTGATGATTATTTGTAGCCACTGATGCGTGGAAAACAAAAGTAAAAATAAAACAACACACCCCCGAATACAAAGTTCCTCTTCACTTTCAATAAAAGGGAAACTTATTTGATTTTCATGTTGTTTTTGTTTTTTTTTGTGAGCGTATTGAAGACTTTTATAGGTCATGATCGTTTTTTCAGAAAAGTAAAAATTTGTTCATGCTCATGTTTTTTTGCGCTTTGATTTGATTTCTTTTTAAGTTCAGTTTATTTCCTTTGATAAAAGGAAGGCAAACTCCACTATCGAACAGCAAAACTTATGAAGGCCACAAAAACGTGAACCATTTATAATTGCGAAAGTGGTTTTTATCTTTCAGATTTTACAGCAGAAAAAATTTAACCAATTGATCGAGTTTTCTCAATATGGGTTAATTTTATCAAAAAGTATCGATCAAAAATTGTTCTTTAAGGCCATGTATCAATGTCATGTACGAGTTTTAATGCCATATATCCACAAAGTTTTTTCTTAATAAAATCAAGTTTTCTTAGCCTCAAAACGTAAATAAAGGTTAAATGCTTTTATAGAGAACGTTACTCGATTGGTTTACTCGCTCAAAATTCAAAAACAGGTAACCCGTTTTTTCTCGAAACTGGGCCAATTTAAAAAAAAATTTTAACGTTGTTTGAGTCACTATTAAAAGGCTCTAATTTGATATATCGCTCGATTGATTCTGATGATTATTTGTAGCTACTGATGCGTGGAAAAAAAGTAAAATTAAAACGAGACTCACCCCCGAATACAAAGTTCCTCTCCTCTCTTAATAGAAAGAACACTTAACTGATTTTCATGTAGTTTTGTTGCTTTTTTTATGAGCGTATTGAAGACTTTTATAGGTCATGATAGTTTTTTTTCAGAAAAGTCTAAAAATTTGTTCATGCTCATGTTTTTTTGCGCTTTGATTTGATTTCTTCTTCAGTTCAGTTCATTTCCTTTGATAAAAGGAAGGCAAACTCCACTATCAAACAGCAAAAGTTATGAAGGCCAGGAAAAACGTGATCCATTTATAATTTCGAAAGTGGGTTTCAGATTTTACAGCAGAAAAAAATTAATAAATCGATCGAGTTTTCTCAATATGGGTTAATTTTATCGAAAAGTATCGATCATAAATTGTTCTTTAACGCCATGTATCAATGTCATGTATGAGTTTTAATGCCATATATATATTTTTTTCGAAAGCTGAAATTTTTCAAAAAACCATGTCAGTGTTTCCATGTTTTTTTTAGTGCATTGGCTCTCTTCCAACTGTCTGTTGGCTGTGTTTTGTTGTGATTGGCTTGTAATTTGCAAATTTTTCATGATTCGTTCATTTTCTTTGAAGTGAAGGCGTCTATTTTTTTTTGAAATATTTCCTTGAAATTCAAAGCGCTTCAAGGTAAGATTTTAATTTGAAAATACATCATAAACAAGCAATCGTTTTTATTGCTTTTCTTGTTCCTTGACATTTTTCCAACTGTCTTTTGACTGTTTTTTATATCAGTTTTATTTCTTAAAAGAATGAGAAAACACGCTTATGAGCACAAGATTATATCTGGATCGCACGAAATGCTAAAAATCTTAATGGAAGTTTTTCATGACAACAATTTTTTTTGTTTCCTTTACTTTCGACTTGATAGGACTGGGCCTATATTATATCGGTTTAATGGCCATTTTGATTCTTTCAACGAGTCTTTCAGTGTGTGAATGTCTGTTTTGAAGGTGAAGTGGACTTAATAACTTGAGTCTTGTTAATTATTTTTTTTCAGCTAAAAGGGTTTCTGCCAAGGTAGTTTTCGGCTTTGTTACCCTTTAATAAATTTTCTCCCTTCGCTTATTTCACATTATATTGTTTGTGTTGTGTTGTTTTTTAATCTGAAAACTAGCCTTATTTTTTGATAGATCTAGTTTTCGCCATTTCGATTTTTTTTCGATTTTCTAAATTTTCGATTGTCTGTTTTGCCTCGGCTTATTGCGCATAAAGAAGTGTTAAACAGCCTGATCTTCCAAAATAAACAACTGAATGTCAAGTATTCCATCTTCAATGTAGGTTCTGGATCGGCATTTGATGTTGAACTTCTGGACAATACTTTTGCGATGAGCGACTTCAAAATAGCAGCCGGCTTGACCAAGGTCAAGTATGAACGAATCGGTCCCGGCAGCAATGTCTCCCAGTCGGTAGTGTTGATTCTGCAAAACACTGGTGAGTACTCTAAGCCTTTGGGTTCAGGAAACTATCATTAAGCCACAATTGAAGAACAATTTGGAACCGCTTCTTAAAGAATACTTATTGCTGCTACATTAATACAGTATTTTACAAGCACTTGTTTAAAGATTTTGCTTCAAACTTAAATTTAATTATCAAAATAAAAATCTTTGTCCAATTAAAATTCCAATATTTTTCTTGGCAAGCATCAAGATCGCAGATTTAGGTCTGGCTTATTTTCGTGAATTCTCTGCTACTATCAAACAGCAAAAGTTATGAAGGCCACGAAAAACGTGATTCATTTATAATTTCGTAAGTGGGTTTCAGATTTTACAGCAGAAAAAATTTAGTAAATCGATCGAGTTTTCTCAATATGGGTTAATTTTATCGAAAAGTATTGATCATAAATTGTTCTTTAACGCCATGTATCAATGTCATGTACAAGTTTTAATGCCATATATATATATATTTTTTCGAAAGCTGAAATTTTTCAAAAAACCATGTCAGTGTTTCCCTGTTTTTTTGAGTGCATTGGCTCTCTTCCAACTGTCTGTTGGCTGTGTTTTGTTGTGATCGGGTTGTAATTTGCAAATTTTTTATGATTCGTTCACTTTCTTTGAAGTGAGGACGTCTATTTTTTTTTAAATAATTCATTGCAATTCAAAGCGCTTCAAGGTAAGATTTTAATTTGAAAATACATCAGAAACAAGCAATCGTTTTTATTGCTTTTCTTGTTCCTTGACATTTTTCCAAGTGTCTTTTGACTGTTTTTTTATATCAGTTTCATTTCTTAAAAGAATGAGAAAACACGCTTATGAGCGCAAGATTATATCTGGATCGCACGAAATGCAAAAAAATCCTAATGGAAGTTTTTCATGACAACAATTTTTTTCCTTTACTTTCGGCTTGATAGGACTTGGCCTATATTACATCGGTTTAATGGCCATTTTGACTCTTTCAGTGTGTGAATATCTGTGTTTTGAGGGTAAAGTGGACTTAATAACTTGTTAATTATTTTTTTTCAGCTAAAAGGGTTTCTGCCAAGGTATTTTTCGGCTTTGCTACCGTTTGGTAAATTTTCTCCCTTCGCTTATTTCTCATTATTTTGTGTTGTGATGTTTTTTAATCTGAAAACTAGCCTTTTTTGATAGATCTAGTTTTCGCCATTTTCGAATTTTTTTTCGATTTTCTAACATAGCGGCTTTCTTGTTCTGTAGCGCAAGTGTTAGATTTCTCAGCAGAATTGAAATACCCATTGTTTGGATTGACCCAGTCAAGTATAAACGTTGAATTTTGCATTGTTTATTCAGTTTCGCTCGCAAGTTTTTTTTCCAGAAAATTAAGAAACAATGGCAATTTTGTTGAAATAATGTGGAAAATTTTTTATTCGATTTGGTTTTGAAAATTGTTTTTTTTTAGACTTCGAAATGGGGATAATGTCCGTATTTATTGCTACGGCATGTTTGACAGTGTTCTGTGTAACCTCTCAAAACTCTGACAACTTGCCTCGACTTATTGCGCATAAAGAAGTGTTAAACAGCCTGATCTTCCAAAATAAACAACTGAATGTCAAGTATTCCATCTTCAATGTGGGTTCTGGATCGGCATTTGATGTTGAACTTCTGGACAATACTTTTGCGATGAGCGACTTCAAAATAGCAGCCGGCTTGACCAAGGTCAAGTATGAACGAATCGGTCCCGGCAGCAATGTCTCCCATTCGGTAGTGTTGATTCCACAAAACCCTGGTTAGTACTCGAAGTATTTGGGCTCAGGAAACCATCATTAAGCCGCAATTGAAGAATAATTTGGAACCGCTTTTTAAAGAAAATTTAGTGCTGCTACAGTAATACAGTATTTTACAAGCACTTGTTTAAAGATATTGCTTTAAACTTAAATTTAATTAACAAAAGAAAAGTCTTTGTCCAATTAAATTTCCAATATGTTTCTTGGCGAGCAACAAGATCGCAGATTTAGGTCTGGCTAAATGTCGTGAAGTCTCTGCTACAGACCCGGTCCAGGTTTAAGGCTAATAGAACAGTTATTTGTTGTGTCTGAAATAATGATGCTGAAGTTGATGATGATGATTTCTTTCAGGTCGGTTCAACTTCACTTACGCCCAGGTATCCTACTCTTCGCAGCAGCAGATAGGAAAGAACCCCCAAATAGGCTACACCAGTGCCCCAGGGGAAGTGGTTGTGTACTCACTGGCAGAATACGAGCGGTATTTCACAGCTCACGCCAAAGACTGGCTCTACTTTGCTGGCATGAGTTTGCCTTGTATTCTGATGCCGGGCTTCTTCTGGTATAGAAGCTACGCTAAGTACTGCGTGAAGAAATCGAAGAGTGCATAGAAATCATTAAATGATTAATTTCGTGTGGAACCTTTCTCCTTTTAAATCAATAATGCAGTAAAAAGAAAACAAGAACAACTGGTGTATCAAAATTTTCTTCCTAAAATTATCAATTGATTGAAAAACAACGCTAGTTTAACGAAGCAAGACTTATGTTTTCGATTACCATAAGAATATTTGAAGATAAATTAAAGTCTTTCCATGTGAAACACTTACTCTCATGTGGTAAAAAAAAATTCTCTCATGTACATGAAATTGGCCGTCGTGTAAAAAGTACCTTTTTTGGTGAGAAGTAAACGATTTACAGACGAACTGGGGGGTTTAAAGGAGAAAGTATCAATACATGTGTTTAAAAATTTAAGCCTATCGTTTGCTTCATCGTACAAATTAAAGGATATTGAGTTTCGGTTTGAACTGAAATTGCTATCTTTTTTGTTGTATTTGACCAAATGTAATAGATATGGTTGAGGTATTGTGTAAATAGTTTTTGCTTTCATTCCTTTGATATATTTAATTATTGTTATAAAAATATCTTCCTTATGGTGGCAATCAGTGTTACAACTGAGGTAAGTGCGGTAATAAAATATTATGTTCTCCAAGTGTTGTAAAACTATCAAAGTGATATTTGATATTATTTCGATTTTTGTTGATTGACTTGGCATAACTTGAAAATTGATGTTGGTATGTGGCGTAAATACATGGAAGGCAATTATTGTATTTGGATTGTTATCATTGAGTTTATACTGCTGAATAGATTATTATTGCTCGGTTTCTTATCTGATTCACAGAGTAAAACAATTTAAACCTTACAAGGGGTAAGTCCGCCTGCTAGAAAAAAAACATTTAGTTTCAGCCAGGTCGAAAAAGCAACGGCTCGTGTTTGCGCCGAGAGGGTAGAAGTTGGAGTCACTGTTGTTTAACTTTGGTATAGTTTACCAGATAAATGAAGAAAATTTTTGAGCTTTCGAGTCCTTTTTTTTACTAGGCCGGACTTTTTGTGTTCAATTTTTCGTTTATGTTCCGACTTCCGAAGCAAGTGACGGAATATTTGTGCCCGAGTGGTTTTTTCTCTAGACCAATTTCGACTTTTTAAGTTGAAATTTTTGACGAGATTTTTTTATATCGTATTGTTGTCCTGAGCTCAAATTTAAAAAGATATTTCAACTTTGATCATTTTTCGTAAAGTTTTGGGTGTTGGTTGATTAGCAGTTTGACCAGTTTAGGATTATTAACTGGGTGGTTTTCAAAAAACAAAGGGGTGGTCTTATTTTTGGGTGGTTTTCAAAAAAACTCAAAAATTGTTTCATTTTTTGAAATTTTGATCTAGTTTTGTTTAGTGATACGAGCAGTCTTGTTTAGTTTAATTGCCAAGTATACATATAAAACAGCGCGTAAGTACTGATTATGCTGATGATATTAGTACAGGCTATTGTAATTGCTCGGAATGTTGAATTTTCAGTTCAATAAGAGCCTGTATGAGTTACAAATTTTGAGAAGTTTCTTTTATTTGCAATGTAAATTTGCTCTTCCAACTGAACACTTAGTTATGCTTCAAGCTCTCTCTTTACCATTTATTCATTAATTTGGTTCCAGAACAATGACATCAGAGAGTAAAGTTGACCAACTTATCAGGAAAACTCTCGAAGTTCAGCCCGATTTCCCGAAACAGGGCGTTTATTTTCTGGACATCTTTCCTCTATTCCACGACCCAGCAGTGATCAAATCAATAACAGATGAAATTGTCCAGAAAATCAAAGAATTGTCCCCCAAAGCAACGGCCATTGTAGCTTTGGAAGCAAGAGGATTCCTGTTTGCTCCTATAGTTGCGATGGAACTCGGAATTAAATTTGTACCGATTAGAAAAACAGGAAAATTACCGGGAAAAGTGGAAAATTTTACATATCAGCTTGAGTATGGACAAGATACGGTGGAGATTCAGAGTGGTGTTTTGAAAGAGAGTGACAGTGTTGTTATTTTTGATGACATTTTGGCAACTGGAGGCACAGCATCTGTAAGTGACTACGGTTTGCTTTGCTGGTTTTATTTTTTCTACCAAGTACGCAATTTTTGGTACAACTATGAGTTTTGGGCTACGTGCTCGTTGCTTGAGGTTGAGGCAACATTAGCCAGCCTAGAAAAGTAACCAAAAATTTGCATGTCATTCTTAAGCGGTTCTCGGCGATGTGCTGAACAGCTCGTACCTTGGTCCTTTCGCTCGTGGATAAATCGTTTTAATTTTATCTGGATGATACATGGCCTCCTGAGAAGTTTAAGGAAAAATTAAAATGTTTGAGCAGATGCACTTTTTTGGCTTGAATTTTTATACTAACGACAGAAATTATCATAATAAAATAGATAATTGGAGAAAATACCACACGTGAGCCCAATTTTGTCTAGTTTTGGAATAGGAATCAAAAGTTTGGCAAATTAATAATAGTTTGTTAATCGGCCTATGGATGAATCACAGGTTGTTTTTTATTTCGGTTTAACAACTTTTTTTCGGGTTAACGACCTGCTGTGCAGAATCACTTGTGTCTTGATTCATAATGAATGCAAACTTCTGTGCGTTTGCGGAACTTAACCTGAAGGTGAAGAATGCGCCTGGGACGACAAATATCTTGGGTTGGAATCTGACCAGGAACTGTTTTTTTTTTCAAACTGCAAATCTTGCTTTCCAAAAAAATGTCAGCCTATAGAGTTTGTCTGTTTATATTTTGTCGGCTTAGTTGCTACATCGTAAAATTGATGTTTTTTTGTGCGCAATTTTCAATGTAGTTAACTTTTGTTTTTTGAATTACTGTAATTTTCAATTTTACTATCCTTGACTTCGTATGTTTTGCTGTTTTTGTTTTATTTTTCGCTTTAAAACTTTGTTCGACTCAATTAATTTATCGGCTTAGTGACGTAACTTGGAAGGTGACCCATCTTTCATTTTAAATGAAGCACAAGTTTTATGTTTCATCCCGGATCGCTCAAAATGCTAAAAATCTTAAAATAGAATTTAAAGTTCAAAATTTTTCATGACAACAGTTATATTCTCCGTTCTACTCGATATTAAGTTTCGTCGGCTGAGTTGCCGCTTGTTTTGTTTTTGAAATTTCATTAAATGCCGTCGATTGTGTTTCTTTCTAGAAATGTGTTCCGCGAATAGAATTTGATTCCAGGCAACATTTGAATTTTTTCAAGTTGCCGTTTTTTTGAATATTTTTTAAGAATTAGTGGCGTTCTTTTCCTTTCTGCTAGCTTGCATTGACAAGTTTATGTTGTAAGGCAATTGGAGCCAAGCCCCGCTTCGCCTCTTTGTGGTAATATTTTTTATTCTGAATTCTTAGCCTGAAAAAAGGCAGCCGACTATATGGCTCGTTGCTAGACATCTCGAGCGGAAAAAGATTATTGAAAGCTTCAAAAAAGAGAAAACATGGCTAAAAAGAGATAGATGTTATATCGCTGGTTTAGTTTTCCTGCTAATTTTTTTTGTGTGCTTTTTGAGCAGCTATTCTTGTCTGAACGTTTTTTATTCTGCTTTTTAATATTCGTGTGCGAATTTTTGATGTTCAATAATTCGTTACATACAGTTTTGCTTGGCGTTTTAATTAATTAATAGAGATCAGGGGCACTCTAAAGTTGATAATACAGTGAAATGTCTTAGAGACTCGAATCTTTTGTGTAGAAGTTGAAACAGTGCAGTCTTTTTGTTAATCAGGTTGTTCAATAGTTGTCATCTATTATGTATATAAATGCGGGCCATGTTTAACCATTTTCAACGTAATATTTTTGCACGTTTAACGAAAGAATTTTTTCACGTTTAAGCTATATCGTATATTCCAAGGTTAAGATATTTTCGATTTTCCAGTTTGAATTCAGCGATTATTCCACCGAGTTTAAAAGAAACAGCCCAATAGCAGGATGCTGTCAGGATTCCCGAAAAGGTTGCAAATTCGGCCTCCAATTAAGAACGCTCAAATCCTTTCAGTATAAGAGATACGACGATTTTCGTGATTTTTTAAAAATAAATTTTCAGAAAATCAAATTACAAAATAATTTACCAAACTTCCCCTAGCCCTCTAGTTGGCGGCTGTCAGAGTACTTTCAAGGATTGCGAATCTTGCCTCCAAATATGACGACACAAATCCTTGTAGTTTTCGAGATAAGACGTTTTTTGTGATTTTTTCAAAAAAGTTTTAAAACAAACGAAATTTTTTTCTTCCAAATTTGAAGTTCCCAACCCTGTAGTTGGGGGCTATCAGAATACTCTCAGAGGCTGCGAACCTTGCCCTCAAAATATGACTGCTCAATTTTTTGTAGTTTTTGTGATATTACGTTTTCAGTGATTTTTTCAAAAAATTTAAATCAATTTTTTTTCCAAATTTGAAATTCCTTAACCTGTAGTTCGGCGGTGTCAGGGTACTCTCAGTGGTTGCGAATCTTGCCTCCAAATATGACTTCTCAAATTCTTGTAGTTTGCGAGATATGACGTTTTTTGTGATTTTTTCAAAAACTTTTTTTGGAAAACTCGAAAATAAATGTTTTCTTTAAAGTTTGAAGTTCTCAAACCTGTAGTTGGTTGCTGTCAGGGTACTCTCAGGGGTTGCGAATCTTGCCTCTAAAATATGACTGCTCAAATTCTTGTAGTTATCAAGATATTACGTTTTCTGTGATTTTTTCAAAAAATTTAAATCAATTTTTTTCCAAATTTGAAATTCCTTACACTGTAGTTGGGCGGTGTCAGGGTACTCTCAGGGGTTGCAAATCTGGCCCTCAAATATGTCTGCTCAGATCCTTGTAGTTTTCGAGATATTACGTTTTCTGTGATTTTTTCAAAAAATTTAAATCAATTTTTTCCAACTTTGAAATTCCTTACCCTGTAGTTGGGCGGTGTCAGGGTACTCTCAGGGGTTGCAAATCTTGCCTCCAATTATGACAGCTCAAATCCTTGTAGTTTTCGAGATATTACGTTTTTTGTGATTTTGTCAAAAAAATTGAATCAATTTTTCTTCAATTTAAAATTCCTTACGCTGTAGTTGGGTGGTGTCAGGGTACTCTCAGGGGTTGCGAATCTTGCCTCCAAATATGACTTCTCAAATCCTTGTAGTTTGCGAGATATGACGTTTTTTGTGATTTTTTCAAACACTTTTTTTTTTAGAAAACTCGAACCTAAATTTTTTCTTTAAAATTTGAAGTTCTCAAACCTGTACTTGGTTGCTGTCAGGGAACTCTCAGGGGTTGCGAATCTTGCCTCTTAAATATGACTGCTCAAATCCTTGTAGTTTTCGAGATATTACGTTTTTTGTAATTTTTTCAAAAAATTTTCAAAAAAACTGAATTAATGTTTTTTTTTCAACTTTATAATTCCTTACACTTTAGTTGCGTGCATTCCGTGTACTCTCAGGGGTTGCGAATCTTGCCTGTAAAATATGACTGCTCAAACCCTTGTAGTTTTTGAGATAATACGTTATGTGTGATTTTTCAAAAAAAATATAGATTATAATTTTTTCAAAATTTATAATTCCTTACGCTGTAGTTGGGTGGTGTCAGGGTACTCCCAGGAGTTTTAAATCTTGCTTCCAAATATGACTACTCAATTGTTTGTATTTTTCGAGATTTGACGTTTTCGAGATTTGACGGAAAATTGGGATTCAGAAAAAGTTCGTAAATTGTGAAATTACCAACCCTGTAATTGGGTGCTGTCAGAGTACACTGAAAGCCTGTAGATCTGGTTTTCATATATGTCAAAATTTGGAAGCACTGGAGTTGCGTAACGCGCTAGTATAGATTAAACTATAAACGTATACTTCGTTATATATTAGTTTGAGCATAAATTGTATATTGCATTTCAAATTCCAAACTTGGGGATTTCCAGATAATACATTTTTCAAAATGAATGATTGATGGGTGATCTACCGTATCGATTTCTTTGGTCCACGCTCTTAATCAGTTTTTAAAGAAAGATCATAATACTGTTAAAAGTTTTTATAATTGCGTTGAAGTGCAGACAGCAATGAAATGCGTTCATCTTTTGCGGCTAAGACTTGCAGCTCTCATTGTAGTGTTAAATATTTGAGATTAGAGAATCTTGCCTCTAAAATATGACTGCTCAAATTCTTGTAGTTATCAAGATATTACGTTTTCTGTGATTTTTTCAAAAAATTTAAATCAATTTTTTTCCAAATTTGAAATTCCTTACACTGTAGTTGGGCGGTGTCAGGGTACTCTCAGGGGTTGCAAATCTTGCCCTCAAATATGTCTGCTCAGATCCTTGTAGTTTTCGAGATATTACGTTTTCTGTGATTTTTTCAAAAAATTTAAATCAATTTTTTCCAACTTTGAAATTCCTTACCCTGTAGTTGGGCGGTGTCAGGGTACTCTCAGGGGTTGCAAATCTTGCCTCCAATTATGACAGCTCAAATCCTTGTAGTTTTCGAGATATTACGTTTTTTGTGATTTTGTCAAAAAAATTGAATCAATTTTTCTTCAATTTAAAATTCCTTACGCTGTAGTTGGGTAGTGTCAGGGTACTCTCAGGAGTTGCGAATCTTGCCTCCAAATATGACTTCTCAAATCCTTGTAGTTTGCGAGATATGACGTTTTTTGTGATTTTTTCAAACACTTTTTTTTTTAGAAAACTCGAACATAAATTTTTTCTTTAAAATTTGAAGTTCTCAAACCTGTAGTTGGTTGCTGTCAGGGAACTCTCAGGGGTTGCGAATCTTGCCTCTTAAATATGACTGCTCAAATCCTTGTAGTTTTCGAGATATTACGTTTTTTGTAATTTTTTCAAAAAATTTTCAAAAAAACTGAATTAATGTTTTTTTTTTCAACTTTATAATTCCTTACACTTTAGTTGCGTGCATTCCGTGTACTCTCAGGGGTTGCGAATCTTGCCTGTAAAATATGACTGCTCAAACCCTTGTAGTTTTTGAGATAATACGTTATGTGTGATTTTTCAAAAAAAATATAGATTATAATTTTTTCAAAATTTATAATTCCTTACGCTGTAGTTGGGTGGTGTCAGGGTACTCCCAGGAGTTTTAAATCTTGCTTCCAAATATGACTTCTCAATTGTTCGTATTTTTCGAGATTTGACGTTTTCGAGATTTGACGGAAAATTGGGATTCAGAAAAAGTTCGTAAATTGTGAAATTACCAACCCTGTAATTGGGTGCTGTCAGAGTACACTGAAAGCCTGTAGATCTGGTTTTCATATATGTCAAAATTTGGAAGCACTGGAGTTGCGTAACGCGCTAGTATAGGTTAAACTATAAACGTATACTTCGTTATATATTAGTTTGAGCATAAATTGTATATTGCATTTCAAATTCCAAACTTGGGGATTTCCAGATAATACATTTTTCAAAATGAATGATTGATGGGTGATCTACCGTATCGATTTCTTTGGTCCACGCTCTTAATCAGTTTTTAAAGAAAGATCATAATACTGTTAAAAGTTTTTATAATTGCGTTGAAGTGCAGACAGCAATGAAATGCGTTCATCTTTTGCGGCTAAGACTTGCAGCTCTCATTGTAGTGTTAAATCTTTGAGATTAGAGGGCATTCTAAAATTAGTTTTTCTTCCAACCTAAGTCGGAAATTTTGTTGAGACGCAAATATGTTGCGAAAAAAAGTGTTCATTTTGAAAATGTTCATTTTGATCAATATCCAGCTATTAAGTACAGCCAATGCTAAGGATATTAACACAGACTGTTATATTACAAATAGCACTTTAGCTTCAAGGTATCATGGATATGCAGCGTAAATGTGGGGAGGGAGACCCGCAACAAAATGAGAGGGCTCGAAACTGGGCAGGGTCGGATGTTTTTAATGAACTTAGTAATTTTCTTTTTAAATTTCTTGGTAAATTTCTTTACTTGGTAAATTTCTTTTTTTTTTTTAATTTACTGTTGCTGCTAATGCATCATAATTGGCTGGTGTCTTGTAAGAATTTTTGCAGACTCCAAGTTTTCTACTCATTCAATTTTTCCCAGTAGCGTTATCAGTCATATTTTTGCTTGTGTATGTAACTTTGCCTCTGTGTTAAATTTTGTTTTGGATGCGAGAATAGTTTAAATCAAAACGCTCCCTGCTACGTTTAGGTTCAAAATGTGTCTGCACTTTCAATTTCCTAGTTTATTTATTGGCTGCGGTACGATTGATTCCAGTCTCTGGCTCACTAGTTTTACTATTAATGTTTTTTGTGTTTTTTGAGCAGCTGTTCTTGTCTGACTGGTTTTTTATTCTTCTTCTTAAGGTTCATGTGCGAACCTATGGTGTTCAATTTTTCATTCCGTGCAGTATTGCTTGGCGTTTTAAATCCTTAATAGAGACGTAAATCAGACGCACTCTAGAGTTGATAATCGTCAGTGAAATGTTTTAGAGACTCCATTCTTTTGTGTAGAAGTTGAAGCGGTGCAGTCTTGTTAGCTGATCAGGTTGCTCAATAGTTGTCATATAGGTTAAACTAAAAACGCATACTTTGTTCTATATAAAAAAGTGAGCATAACTTGTATATTGCATTTCAAATTCCAAACTTGGGGGCTTTACCAGATCATACATTTTATAAAATGAATATTTGATCCGTGATCTACCGTATCGATTCTTCTGTTTCAAAAAAGTTTGAGGTCCACACCCTCATTCAAATTTTTGTAAAGAAAATTCACAATCCTGTTTAAGCTTTATAGTAGCATTGAAGTGCAGGCAGGTATGAAATGGGTCTATATTCCGCGGCTAACTAAGACTTGCAACTCTCATTGTAGTTTAACGTTTTTGATATCTTTAGGCATTCTAAAACTCGTTTTCTTGATTGGTTCTTTAAATTTCATTATTTAAATTTTCATTATGGATGGTGCTATTCAATTTATGCGAGAATAGTTGAAATCAAAACGTTCCCTGCGTCGTTCAGGTTTTAAATGTGTCTGCAGTTGTTTAATTTACTAGTTTATCTTTTGGCTGCAGTACGGTTGTTTCCAGTTTCTGTCTCATTGAGTTTTGATTAGCTTTTTATAGCCAATTTTTCACCTATTAATCGAAAGAAGTCACCGACCAAAGAGTCGTTTATATCAAAATTTGTTTTGGTTTCGTTTCCTGTCAGCTCGTTAGTTTTTTTATTCATTTTTTTTACCTCGTTTCTATGTAAGCTTGTCTAGTTTTCTTGTCTATGTAAGCTTGTCTAGTTGATAGAACTTAATTTGTTTTTTGGTTTCTAGTAAGTGCTTGTGCTTTTTTTCTCATAATTATCTTCACTTATTCTGTTCGTTTCTTTCGACTAGGCCTGCATAAATGCTTACTAACATCCGATCAACTGGATTAACAATATGAGGCAAAAAGAAAAAAAACTATAAAAAGGATGTTTTTCAATTTAATTTATTCTCAACACAAAAACAAAGATTAAGATTCGACGATTAAACCCTAGTTATTTTGGGTTCCTGTTTTTCAATGCTCAAGCTTGTTTTTTAATTTCTTAAACTTTTTTGGTAAGTATCCTTCAACCTGCAATGGTTGTGTTAGGCAGTGTGCGACAAGCCTGTATACTATCTGCATTAATTTTCAATACCAAAAAACATTGGAGTATTCCTAGAATTTCTCTTGTGACAGCCTGTTAAATTCTCCAATCAAAGGGAGGATTCCTTGCCTCGGCGCAATCATTACTTGTATACCGCTCTTGTTCATACAATCGGCCATCCACACTTGCTTGATTTGCATTACTTTTTTTTTGTAAATCTTAATTTTTTTTGACGATCTGTTGATGGCTACCATTAGCATTCATCAAGTTCTACACGGATAAAACTTTGACACACCTACACCACTTACACGCACCAAAAAAAAAGCCTTTCCGATTTGAGTAGTTTAAATTTGATTTTTTTTTTCGACGCTGGATTCGATTTATCGTTCCAAAATATAGAAAACACAAATTTGATGGGCTCTTTAGTAAAAATAGTTCAAATAAGGAAATCACGACTAACCGTTTTCTCTAATTCAGCGGGTTTGAATCGTTTCTATTTTAATAGATTTGAATATTCTCTATTTTATTGGATTTGAAAAAATCAACTCAGTTAGTCAATTCAGAATGGCTACAATTTTTTTGTTCCGAGAACTTTGTCTTCGGGTGTTTAATTTTTTCTAAGTTTTTTCCGCGCAAATCAAGCTTAACAAATAATTATCAGAGGGTGCCGATTGATTTACAATAATATCAAACCCTTTTATTCGTGAATCGATTGACATATAAACTTAATTCGCTGATGATTCCTTTCTTTTTGACCCGGTCTGAATTCTTTCGTTTTGAGTCTAAATTCGAGCGAATAAAGCGAGCTAGCAGACTTAAATTGGGAGGATCAGCTTTTAATTAAGAAGTTAAAACTTAGTTTTCACCATTATTTTAGCGCCTTCATGGGGTCTTTTTCCAATCAAATTACGAGGCCCAACTTTGAACTGAATAGGGGCGCAATTTGGTGTGTGTGGTTCTTTGGAATCCAGAGACAGGTCTTTAAACATGTGTAAATTTTGACTGAACGATCAAATAAAGTGTAAGAACAAAGGAAGAGCAAAGCGAGCTTTCTTGTTTCGGAATCCGCTCGCAATTCACAAAGTAAACAGTTTGGCTTCGTACTGAAATTAAATTATCTATAAAAAATCTGAACAAAAATCGTTGTTTTTCTATTGATTTTTCGAAAAAAAGAATTCTGTTGTTGAATATGCCTTTTTTTCTATGGCTTCGAAAGTTCTTAAGTTATTTAATTCAAACTAGTTAGTCGCTAGGTAAAAGAAAGCAATTGTTACCGCTTTTCTTTTTTCGTTTTAGGCCGCGGTTTCTCTCTTAACAAAACTGAACATACCTTGCAGTTTATGCCTCTTTGTGATAGAGCTCAGTTATCTAACTGGCAGAGCGAAGTTGGAAGAAAGTTTGAAGAAGCAGTCTGGAAGCCATTCCACGGTCATTCACTCGATAAGTCTTATATCAGCCGAAGAAATTGACGATATACCGAAGAAATGAAGATGCCAGAGATATTTTAAAAAGAAAACTGAAAAAGTGCTGATAAATGATATCATATATTTTTTGTTTTAAAACAAAAGCAAAGATATTTTATTTTTCGAAATTTTCTCGTTTTTGCAAATGTAAGAGAAACAATTTATTGTTTGTTGAATTTTCGAGTAGCTAAGCTTACCTAAAATGTACACAAATTGATATCAAAGATGAAAGCTGACATATATTCCAATATAATTTCAGAATAAGGCTAGCTTTCTAGTGTTTTATGAGACAATATCTCAAACTTTGTACGAAAACTACGATTTTCAGCTACCTTTACGTACGTTCGGCCTAATATTTTTCAATAGATTCTTCATTACAAGGTTGCATATTCCAAATAATGATTATTTTTCAAGGAATACCGTATTTTCAGGTTAGCTCATTTTTTGGTGGGCTGAAAATATCAAAAGGCATCTAATTAACGTTCTATCCACCAAAGATGAGGCGGAACTTCCGATTTTCTCCCAATGCGGTCAATACTAGTTATTCATTATATATTAAAGCCCTTCCAGTAGTGATTCGAGCTGCACAGCCTTTGCCAGTCATGTTAAATTTGTGATTTGTATAAATTGTTGCCCTGACGCTCTTTTTTTTCATGGTTTTGATGGAGGTGTCTGTGGAATGTTTCCGGCGAAGAAACGTATCTTTTTGTAGAACTCTATAAAAAACGTTTGAAATGTGTTTGTTTTAGAGTGTTAAGAAATGAAGCTTCTTTTCGAGCTTTTATTAAGTGTCAGTCAACAAAGTGAAGACACTTGTTAAAGTTGTGGCAATTTTTTTTCAAGGAAAAGTCTTAAAATGCTCTTATTAAAAAGGACGTGCATTCCTACTCAAATTTGTGTTTTTTGGCGTTTCGACTCTGATCTCTTTTAAATTCAATTAAAATTCTTTTGTTAAAGGGTAAATTGCTCTCGAAAAACCAAAATTCAAATTGCGCGACAAAAAACGCGATCAAATCCAGCTTCAAAAATAGATTTTGCAATGGAGTTAAAGAGTTATATGTTGATCTAATTGTCTCAAATCGGTTTGGTTTCATCCAAAAGAAACTTCAATCATAAACGAGTTTGGGATTTCAAACTGTCTGTTGTTCAGCGGAACAAAGTAATGACACCCGATTGCAAACTTTTGCTATCACGTTTACAGTCAGATCCGAAAAAGGCAAATGTTTATTCTTCAAGAGTGAAAGCAATTTTTGCATTTTAAGTTCTTTCAAAAATTTAAGTAGTACTGAATTCAGAAGTTCTGAGTTCGAAGTGCTGAGTATTAACTCCTATTTGGACAAAACTTATATTTTATTTGGATATTGTGATAACTAGTCAATTGATAGTTACCTTGTTTTCAGAGTAACAAGCTTGCAGAATATGATATTTATGGCTAAAGAAAAGTTTTTATTTTACAAATTCTGATTTATGTGTGGAAACTTATTTCTATAAACTTTATAATTACAAAATAGCTAAGCAAATTTAAAAATTAATTAAACATGCAGTGAGAATTTTATGATAAATTGATGTTTGAGAGAAATTGTTGAAGGAGAAATCATTCGACAAAGTGGAAGACCGTTGATTTTTTTGCCAATGGCTTTCTTGATTTTGAGGAGCAGTTAGATTTTGTAAATTTCAAAGTTGAGTTTTTGGTTTTCTGACGAGGTTGTTTTTTACACTTTTAAATTCTCGGGTCTTATGCACTAGACGGCCCAAAATCAATTTTTCTACATCGTAAGCTGGAAATTATGCGAACAAATCTGATTGGGTAATTTTAGCCAATCAAATTCAAGTTACACGGTCAGGCATTCCGATCAACTTTTCTAGCAGATAAAAATATTAGCCGAAATTTCCGAAAAGATGGAACTTTGTAAAATAATCAAACTAATTGTGAGTTACTTGTGAAACCTTGCACAGACAAGGAAAACTTAATAAAACGGCTTGACAATTCGTATTAATAATTCGGCTAATAATTGTATCTGCTTGAAATGGCAGAATATTAATTATTTCATTTGAAATGGCAGAAAATGTCGATGGCACTTGATTGGCTAATTAGCCAATCAAATTCATCCTGAATAATTTCATTTCAAGAGATGTAGAAATAATGAATTTGGGCCGTTTAGTGCATAAGACCCAAATTCTCGTTAAGGAGGCTCTTGGAATCCCGTTCATTTTTTTGTTTCTGTTGTTGTTTGGATTTTTGACATAATATTGTTCGGTTTTATGCAAGACAACCTTAGTAAAAAAATTTTTCGGCTAACTTTACTGCTCTGTTTTCCAATTTTAGGGGTGTTAGTTGGGTCTGACTAATCTGAGTGTTAGTTCTAGTTGTATAATCGGGGTTACAATTTAAGTTTTATTTTTGACTGGATGGGCACAATCTTTGAATTTGTTTTTTCTTTGCGTACGGTTATGGAGTTTTAGTTACAAAAATTTGGGTTCGTTTTCTAAGTGTGATTATATTATGTGCTGAATGTCAGTGATTGGAATTGAAAAATGCTTGCAGCGCGTTTTTTTGCAAAATAGGGTAACAAGTTGTTGCGGCGAAGAATACATTCTTAAAAATTATCAGACAGGTGCCTCAGCTTTTTTGGATCCCTGATATGCCTCTTTGGGCGCATTTTTGTTGTTCCTGTTTGTTAAAACTGTCATGTATTTTTAGAGGTGTTGTAAAACTTTTCATTTACGAAAATATTGTCATTCTCAACAACTACTCTGCCTTTTTTTGAAATTATACCAACCGAAAAAATTGCTCAATCTCGTCTGTGGCTTTGTGTTTCGCAGTTTTTTCCTTGACCCACTTGCTACGGTTTTCAAAAAAAAACATTAAGGTAAGTTTTGTTGGTTTTTTCTTTTTCTGGGCAACTGACCTGCCAATTTGAAATTTTAGGTTCAAAAGACAGAAAGTCATCTGAGAAGCTGTTTTTTTTTGTAACCAGCTACATCTGAAATTCTTTTACAAATCTGTATGGCTTTGAAAGGGTCATTTTTATACTTGTAAGGCTTTTTTGAAACTTGAATTATCTCGAAAACTACCGAATCCTGGATGAAGGGTTTAATATAACTTAACAGATTGTGGGCTTTTTCGATTCAGAAGCCGCTACAGCCTAATAATTAAGATAAAAAATAATAATCTTCGGAAATGTCAAATTTAATTCATTTTGTGACCATTTTTTTCTACGTCGATGTGAAAATTTTTTAAATTAAGTGTAATTCAAAAGTAAGTATTATTCAAATTGTTCATTGATTTTAAGCATTTCAGAGTGTGCGCCATAATATCTAAAAATAGAAAATTAGTTCCGAAAAATAAACGAAATCTCAAAATTCGGCAAAGGCTTACTGAGTTTAATTAAAGATAGTAAGTTAGGAAAAAATTGTTTCCTTGAAAAATAATTCAAGGTCGCATTTTTTCAAGAATTATTATCTCAACTTTTATCTCAATTTTTAATCGCACATTGGATACTTTCATGTGAAATCACAGGTACATGAAAGTAGTCTGCCTGTTATTGAAAGTTTTGTTCAAAAATTTCGAATTCCAGTTCACAAATAAGAAAAGTCAAATTTGACTGATTGAGTATCTTATCTAAGAGTTTGCAGCCTCGATTTAGCTGCGAAAAGGAATATTTGAACTTTTTAACAGCTGAAAGAGTTTAGGACGGGGCTTATTAACAATTCAAAGTTCGAAATTTAAGCGGGTCTGCAACGTTTTCATATTTTAGGACTCTACACTTTGAGAATATAACTAAAATGACGCTTAAACGAGCTTTTCAATTGATATCTCTCAATCCTGTTTTTGATTCTTTCGTCTTTAAGTTAGCTTATTGTTCCGATGATTGAAAATAGGAAAAACTTTGTATTCGGATGTGTTTTAGTGCTTTTTTTTCACTCAAAATCCGGTACCACAAATAATTATGCACAAAAAAACAATACTAATTTGAAAAAAAAAAACATGGAAAAGCTTTTTTAAGAGTGTTATCGGAATATTCGGTGCTCTTTAAATAGCAGCCGGCTATGCCTTTTTCTTTTTGTTTTCTTTTATCAATATTTGTACATTTCATTTTAATCCATGATTTCTAATGACCAAATTGTTTCTTTTTTCCAAATTTGAAAAAGCAACCAACTGCAAGATGACATCTTTCAGCGAACTAGGCTTCGATTTCTGTTTGACAATCAGATTTGACATTTTTAGCACATGTCCGATTTTTGGAATGTTTGTGTAGAAATCCTATGTTTTAACTGGTCATTTTTATAAATCAATTGTGATTTTAAGCTAACTATTTCGAGAAGTCGACATTTTTACGCAGTCAGTGACATATCTTTTTCAGACTTTAGACTGATTAAATAGACGTTTTTATCATGTCATTTTGAGGGTGCCAACGTTAATCCAGCGTAATTTGTTGGCAGATGTAAATCTTTTCAGAATTAGTGTTGAGGTTAAGGTCTAAACAGTGTCCTTGAACTATATGCTATTAATTACTAGTCAAGCTGTTATGGCTGTCTCTCTTAGTAATCCAGTTCTTCAGTTGTTAGTTTGACAACTGCCCATCAAATATACACACCCTTTAATGTTAAATTTGTTTTTCAGGTCAGTTGAACTGCAAATCACGGGCTTTTCCTCAAACTGGTCTAAGGATAGAAAAGGTCAACAACCAATCGTAGCATCTAGACGAACCATCAAATTGCCGAAAGAATAGAAGTTACTCAAAGACCGCTATTGGGGTTACAAATTTTAGTTGGCTTCAAAGTACTGTGTGCTCTCTAGCTACTTAAGTGAATCTTTCATAAGTTTCATACTTCCTTTAAACGTCAATTGTTTTGTTTATGTTTTGTTATCGGCGTATTGGCCTTTTGTCTTTACAGGCGTACGCAATCTTATTTTAATGTTTTATAAAAAATATATTTTCGGCGTTTTTCCTTCTTTGTTTCATTTCGGTTTGTTTTCTCGTAGTTAAGTCGAATGTCAAGCCACTGAAAGTGACAACTGATCTCGAATTTACTTTAGATGTGGTAAGTCGACTTCCAAATCAGGCAACTGTGTTTACATTCCAGTTCGTTATCGATCGCCCATCATCAGAACAACCCGAAAAGTCATTATTAATTTAAGCACGTTTGCAATTAGTCGCATTCTAGTTTTGTAATAAATTATGAAGCAATTGCCGCTTAAAGCCGTTGAGACCTTTCAACCTAGTTTAAAAAGCCTAAAAACTGCTCTGGGTGAAAATTTAACCCAATATTTTGCTGATGTTAATGTAAAGTTAGAACCCTGCCCCGATTTGAATGAAAGCCCGTTTCGTTTTCCAATTTCTAATATATCCAAAGGGGCAATACTGGATGTCGGGGGTCCCGCAAACTTACTTCCCACGCCTAATAAGTCCAAAAAATATTCCCTGGAACAACTGCTGGATCTATGCAATATTCTCCATGTACCAAATGAGATTATTTTCGGCTCATGTGCCGGACCGTTTTGGGAAATGGGTAAAAATAGTGAAATGGTTGCGTGCAAAAAGTCAAGCTCAACCGAATCGGATTCGTTTTTGGGCTATGTCGACGAAAGCTCGGATGGTGCTAGATTCAAGTGTTCGAGTTCCAACAATTTCGGTCTTCTTGGCAATTTCTTTGTTTGCAGCGAAGAAGAGGAATCCACTATCTTGAGAATCAAAGCAAAAACTCGACTCACGAATGAAAACTTTACAAACGCCATTCGTAACGTGATTTCTCAAAACTTTCCGAACCAGGTTGTCTCTCTTGGTGGCGTTTTTAGTGTAACTGGATCACAAACTAATTGTCACGTGATGCCTGATTTTTCGCAGGAACCTCTGGAAAATGACAAAATGGTTCAAGATTGGCTAAATTTCTACGAGTTTGATGAGTCGATGACCTTTGCATCTGTGTTACACTCACATGATCCGGGGTTGAATTTGAGAATGGAGCATTCGCATGGGTATAATGAAGAGAGAAAACAATTAGGTCATTATCACTATGATCTGAACCCGGAAACTGTTGAATATGATGGTGTGTTTGCATTGGCTACTAAAGTCGTGAGAATTGACATGCCGTAATGTAACAGTGACTAAAACCTAAAGTTTCAATTATGCGATGAATAAATGTTATTTTTTTTGCAATTAGTTTAAAAAAAAACAAATATGCAGCTGTTGTTGGCAAATACAATGGAAAACTTGGCCCATGTAAACAATCTCCCCCTTAATAGACCACGTGAACTATGCCCTCCCTAAAATAAATGATAAATTCATGTTTCTATGCTCAAATCTGATTGGCTCAAAATATTGCTTTTAACCAAGAGAACAATCTCCACTTAAATCGATTTTTAGGGGAGATTGTTTACTTGGTCCGAAAACTGATACGCACTGGTCACGGGGTTACTTTTGATCAACTACCTTTATTTTAAGTACAAACCTGTATATCATTTTCATTTTTGACTGACAGTTTCGGTTTCAGTATTTATCAAATATGGCTGCATTAAGTTATTCTAGAATTTTCTTTGATAGTGATTTGATATATGTATATATGTCAATCTAACTGAGTCATGGAATTTAACCTAATTTGTAAATTGATAGCAAACTGCTGTTTGTGGTGATGTATGATAATGGCAATTCTGTACAAATATTCACGCAATGTAAATTTGTTATCAATCTATGGTTACATTCTGTCTCCTAACTGTCGTTAGTTTAGTCTAAATTTAATTTAGTTCTAATTTTATATCATGTTTTAAAAGCTAGAATGGTTTATAGCTCAAAATCAGCTGCGCATGATAAAAAAATTGCTGTAAACGCAATTATCAAATTGTTAAGTAAATTGCGGTTGTGCGACAGTTCGTACGAATCGCCAAAGGTGGCATTTTAAAATTTTCTAAAAGAGAATTTTCGTATCTATCGACAATATATATCTCGGCATTTGAATACTGAATGGGGATTCGTATCAAGCTCGACATTTGTAACTAGTGGGCATTCGGCTCTGCTGCTTTTCTTTCGTCTTATCGCTACTCACACTAGCGAGCTTGCGAGAGTTAGTGCATTAGTACAAACCTTCTTTTTTTTCTAACCTAACTCGCAAATAAAGTGTTAATGGGAAGTGTTCACTTTTATAGAAATTTCACAGAACTGGAAATTGCATAGCATCTGGTCTCTGCTTTATTTGTGGCTAGTATTTGTCATTAATTGAGTGTCAGTGGCTGAGTGGTTAGTGTTTGCGCAGTTTCGCCTGTGTAAATGAACTGATTTTACACTTATTTTGATCTGAGTCGATGAACGTAGTCGATAAAGTTCGTGATGATTTTCAGGAAAAGTCTATAAATTTGTTCAGGCTCAAATGTAACGTTTCGAAAATTGAATTGATTTAATTTCAATCAATTGTTCTGGAAATTCGAAGAGCTTTAAAAGCATCTATTTTTTTCTTGGAAGTTTGAAAGTTGATATATTTTTTCAAAAAATAAGTCAGTATTTTTGTTTTTGGGTTCATTGGCCCTTTTCAAATTGTTTGTTGGCTATGTTTCAAAATAAGGAATTTTTACGATGAAGGAAAGGACTAATATACGAGCTGTTTAAGTCATCAGGTGGAATCGTTGTTGTAGCCCTGATTAAGACCTACATGCTTTTCTTGTGTTTATTTTCTGAGCTGGTTCATTTTGTATCAACCTCTCAAGGACCAAGAATGCATCATAGCGGGCCTCGATCCACTGACTTTCGACTGAGAGGCGGACAACTGAAACATATTCCCGTTGCTCCTCTGGGTGTGCTAATAATAATAAGACATGCTAGCTTGCGATTTTTGTGTTATATTAAAAGTTGACTTTTTCCAATCCAACCGCATAAAGAAATGCTAATTTTGGTGTTTGTTTTTTGCTGCAGATTGTTGGCCGTTTGATTACCCTTGCAATAATTAAGTGTATTGCAATAGAGTACCATTGTTTTTCCCGCAAATAACTTGGACTCATCTGGACTCTTGGCGGTACCTGGGTTCATAATGAATTTAAGTTTCTTAGTGTCGCCTGGACATAAAAAATATGCCTGAGGCGGCAAAGGTCCTGGGTTCGAATCTGACCGGGACCTTTTTTTTCCAAGTGTGAAACATTCGGGTTCAAAAGTTTTCCTCTTAATATTTGTGTGCTAAGTTTTGTCGGCTTAGTTGCCACATCTAAGAATCGCTTGTTTTTCCTGTAAACAATTTTCACTGTAGATACTACTAGTGATTTAGCGTTTTAAAAATCCGGCAGAATCGAAAATTGTTTTTTTTTACATTGGTTTTAGTTTCACCAGACTCGATTGCTTAAAATTTCGATTGTTTTCAGTTTCTTGTCTTTTCTTCGGCTTAATGGGTTCCGGCTAATTTTATCTCGACTTCGTGGCATCCTATTTTGCCGTCTGATGAACAAAAAAAGTTTTCGTAAGCGTGTGTCTGAGGGAAAGGGGGACTCAAAATTTTTTTATTTTCAAGAATTTTCTGATTTTTTTCGGCATGAAGGGTTTCTACTCAGGTCTTTTCGGCCTTGTTGCCGTTTGTTAAGTTTTCTTTCGATAATAATTTTGCCTTCTATCGGCTGGGCTTGTTTTTTAAAAACTATCTTCATTCATTCTGATAGGTCTCGTTGTAAGTACAGTTTTAAGACAATCGGTATTATTTTTTTTGCCGATGATTTTTCTGCTTTTTTGTTTTCGATTAAGTGTTCGGTTTACATATCCGAATTGTGTTTACCACTTTGATTCAGTACATCTTTGGATTTCGTGGATACTAATTGGGCAATGCATGTTTTTTTTTCTAATAAAATTTTGCCGAACAGTTTTGGTTGATTTTCAGCTGATTAATAATCGGCTTTAGTTCGGTTGGCTTATTTACATAACGTTTTGTTTCCTACAAATTTGCGATATTTTTTATAAAGTCGTTAATACTCTGACCCCAAACTTAAGTTTTCGAATGCTCATATTCAACCTTACTTGGAACTTTGTGAGTTTATAGTTTGGAAAAATTTGTGAATTTAAAGTTTTGCTTTCTTTATTTAGATTCTGGTGTCCATTTACTTTCATTTGGCTGCATTTTCTCGCTTAATATCATGAACCAAACTGCAAATAATTAAATTTACAAAAGAAGGGTTCCTTGATGGGGAGTTTGACAATTAATACAAAGTTCGGATCATTTTAAAAACATTTAGCAATGTATGATACATAATTTAAAAGAAATCAGACGAAACAGGGTTTTTTCATGAAATTGGCAATTCTGCTTATAAAAAATTAAGGTATGTCAATGTTTTGTCTTATATAATTATTCAGTTATTTTATTGAGCTATCAGTTAATGCTTAAGAAGTAATTGTAATAAGAAGTTCTGTATTCGATCACCATGTACTCACCATGGAATTTTTGCAAAATTTGAATAAGGTAATTTTTACGAGTCGAGATGCCTTGTATGTTTTAATCGCAGACTGCGTGGTTTTGTCAGACTCCAAATTAATTATGTTTTGAATAAATGTTCAAGCGCCACTCTTTCTTGAACCACCTACCATCGTATAATTTATAGTCTCTTGCTCATGTTGAGCAAAATCAATGTTTTTTTTTGAAGTGCATTAAAGATTACAAGTGTTTTTGAAATCAGTTTCCGAGAACAGACTTCGCACACTAGCTGAATGATGCATAATGAATTATTACAGAATAAAGAGAAGTTGGATTCATCAGTCCGGTTAAGCTCTACGTTCAAGCACAATCTCTCACACGAGATGATTTATTAGTTACATAATAATGGATGTTTAGTGAGCTTTTACATAATATTTTTAAACATAATGTTAAGAAATTAAGTTCAGTGTCCGAGCACGATCTTTTTGAACTCGTCGAAGTCAATGGTTCCGTTGCCGTCGTGGTCGGCCTCCTTCATGATGGAGTCGATGTCTTCGTCCGACAACACCTCCCCCAAGTTCTTCATCGCCACCTTCAGCTCATCCCGCGTGATCACTCTGTCCCCGTCGTGATCGAACTCCTGCTCATTTTTTTAAATTCAGAGATAGGTTAAATTAACAAAGGATAGCTGGTTGCTGTGCAATGGGCACAGTATGTTCCGACCACGGTATTTTGAAAAAAAAACTAAAAATGAGGAAAAATTAAAAATAAAATCGCAAAATATTTTTTTACAAGTTTTTTGTATATTCAAATTCTGGAATCTTTGTCTAATTTAGAAGAAAATTGAATATATTCAGACCATTTTATAAAATATTTTTAGAATACGAATCACGGTTAATAGGGTGTTAAGATGATGCCGCAGTTAACGGCCTACAAGATTTTTTTGAGGTAGTTATTAAAGGTGGCTGGGGAAAAACTAAAATTGGACCGTACGCAAAAGTTTTTTTACACTTTTTTACACTTGCAAAGCGAAGTGTATTATTACGAACATCCTTTTTTCCAACCTAAGTCGCGAATAAAAGTGTTACTTTTGCTGGCACTATTGAATCGGTAGGCTGCGGTAGCAGTATAATATCATATGTGCTTTGACCTTTGATGAGGAAAAAGTTAACACAGCTCATGCATTTTTATTTCATCAAATGAACCGAAATAAAATTATTGGTTTCAAACAGCAGTACAATGATAAAAAGCTCGATTTCAGAAATTTATCTCAATTTCAACTCAATATGTTTCGCAATTTTTTTGAAATGCATAATTTGGCTTTATGCTTTCCTATTTATTACATGCAAAATTGTGTCTTATTGTATTTGGTGCTAATTTTGCCGCATCGAATTGGCAATTTAATAGCATATGTACCTGTCTTATTGGTGGCTAATTTTTTGGGGGGGTTTAAACATTCGTGGCTGAGTGGTTAGAGCATGAGAGTCGTATTTGCTACGTCGCAGATTGGAATCCCACGCGTAGCCGAGTTTTTGCCAATTCGATGCTGATTTCTACTTTTTCTTATTTCACTTGATAGAGTGCCTTTTGGTCGTAATATCGCAAGTGTTTGCCAAGCGCAGCTTTCCCTCTGTAAATTTGTTGGGAACAACAAGTAGGTCAAGAAATGTTTCTTTTAAAATGATAGAAACAATTTTTTAAGATACTTCACGAATATCATATTACAATCCAGGTTTGTAAACAAGTTATGAAGTATTATCCTGCAGAACTGTTTTTTTTTTCAGGCCAAATTAAATATCGATATTAAAACTACAGTTGCCAATTGCTTCTCACATGAGTGCAAAATTCGAGTTAACGCACCAGCATGCCTAGTAGGCTGCAATGTAATTTGTTTGCGCAAAATAAGGCTTTTTAATGAAATAGAACATAAGTATGAAAAGATATATTTTTCCCTTTGCAAAATGAAAATTTTTTAGCATAAATGACCCATTTTATGTAACGAACGTTACTTGCTCGATCGCTTTACTCGCTCGAAATTAGGCTAAAATTAAAGATTTCAAACCGATTTTCCTCGACTTTGGGAGCACTTTTTGAACTTAATATGTTAGAATCACGACTAAAAAGTCTTTAATCTGATATATCACTCGATCCATTCTGTTGAGTATTTGTAGTACCTGATTTTTTGGAAAACAAGAATTAACTAAAAATCACCCGAATACAAAGTTCCTCCCCATTTTCAATGGTCGGAACAAAAAATACCATCCCTTGAAAAAGTGGGATTATGGGAGTATAAAAAAGAAGTATAACATTTGAGAGAGGTTGCAAAAAGTACTGTATGGTAGCGTTAGAATGTGTGATGGAATTAACATGTGATGGTATGATATCTAACCTTGAATGCGTCTTCTAGGTCCTGGTCAGTGATCTCCGGGTGCATCTTCTTCTTCATGAAGGCCAGGAAGTGCTCGAAGTCGCAGAATTGATTCCCTTAAACAATCAAAATCCAAAAACTAAAATCCTAATTCTCGAAACTAAAACAATCAAAATCCAAATTCCTAGAATCCAAAAAATAGATATATAGAACCAAAGTTTAATTTGTAGGGTGCAACAAACAGGCAGAGAAAAATTGAAAGCAGTAAAAAAATGCATTTTAGTTTCTATTTTTGTAATTTGATAGAATAAGTAAAGACATCCTAGATTTGTAGTTGATTGACATTTCGATTTAAAGCACAAACGCTTATTGCAATTACCAAAAAGCTCTCCTTTTTATAGTTAATGCTGAGTTTTTGGCAATATCGTTGACCTTGAGCAATTTAATGGGTCAAAAACTGTATAGCATTTTAGGTTAATTAGTTTTTTTTAAATTGTACGTGGGGAAATCAGTTAAACACAGAAATCCGATGTAAAAATGTGCAGTTTTAGAATAATTAACTTCGTTCAGATTCTCTGACCGAACAGATATTGCCAACCATTTGGCGTTAACTATAAATAAGATAAAGCGGGTTGTTGAAAAGGAGGTCCGAAAGTTGTTATATTTGAAGATTTGAACTTGACTGACCGTTGGATGCCTGCTGGATGAGATGTTCCGCATACTCCAGTGTGATATCCTCCCCTATTGCCTTTTCCATCACCGCCTTCAACTCACACGCTGTCAGTTGTCCATCTTTGTTCTGGTCGAAGTGTTCGAACACCTCCCTCAATTCTGCTATTGTGTCGTCCGACATAGAAGACATAGATGGGACAGATACACTGTAAGATACACTGCGAGATCTGATTGGACAGATTGAAACGAATGATTCTGATTGGTTGAATTTTATCGATAGCTTCGTGGACTCTGATTAGAAAATATCTGAAATGAAAGAATTGATATTTTGTTCAAGACTCAGAAAAGATGCGGTTCGCTGTATTCTGATTAGACAGGTTCAAACAAATGATTCTGATTGGTTAAAGTTTATCGAATCTGATCAGTTAAAGTTAATCGATTGCGTTGGTCATGAAGGACTTTGTACGGCTGCACTGAGCAGAATGGTCCAAGAGCTCTAGAACGGGTCAAAGGCAGATTGAATTAATTAACTGAAGCTAAAATTTGCAGACCAACTTTTAGCCCGCTATTTGGTGTTTGCTGTGGTTCCTAATTGTGTGAAACATTTCATATAAGAGTCCCACACCGTTAACAAACGGCCTTTTGCTTGCTAAAGCGTAGCCAAAAAAGAACAGTGATTATGTTTTCTAGATTGTGTATCCTTGAGAAGAAAAAAAAGAGTTGTCCAATTCGTCTAATATTGTGAGAGCTATCTAGTTATTTGCCCCGCCCAAAACAATACTTGGATTGAATTTCGCGGACGAAGAATTTAAATCACAATTAGTTAAATCATTAAAGATTAAGTGCCAAAGATGGAACATAAATATCACAAAAGTTTCCAAAACAACAGCAAGTAGCATTTCTCTACTAAAAAAACTCTTTGGAGAATCAATATCAAATCATACCAAATTAGCAAGCGTCTTAAAATACAAGTTTTCGGCACTAGGCTGTCTCTTTGACAAAAAACAAAGTGACCAACCTCCTTTAGGGAATGATATATCTTATTCCGAAAAAACTCCCATTTTGGATCTATCGTCACTACCGTTGAATGCAAAAAAGTATCGCTTAATCTTATTGCAAAAAAAACACCGAAGGTCTGATCTTCCAGCGTGTGCTATGAAAGATGGTTGCAAAGAAGTTAACACACATCCACATTCCTTTTGAATGAGTTTTTGTGAAACACTACATCCTGGGCTACGCAAAAAAGCATATGTTAGCCCAATATATGAAAAAGATGACCCAGAAGACCCTGAAAACTACAGATTTTATTCAATAACCGGAGCACCAAATAATGTTTTTGAAAAAATTTTATTTAAACAAATAAATGAGTATCTACTATCCCGCAATCTACTGAGCAGCACACAATTTGGGTTTCGGTGGTCTTATTCAACCATTGACGTTATCCTATTTTGTACAGAATATTTTAGAAAAGCGACTGATACGAACAATCACGCTGCTTGCTAATTATTAGATATATAACAGAAACTGAGTTTTTCTGGTTTTTCAGAAAGCACGAGTACAATGATGAAAACATTCATAAGCAACAGCCAGCAACAAAATAAATGTAAAATATATTAAAACTAGTTGGATCTCACTACATCAGGGGGGGGGGTTCAAGGGGTTACTGTGCTGGACTTTTTTACTTTTCATTTGATCTTAACAAGAAGTTAATGAATTCGTGTGAACTTGCGCAAAATACGAGGACACGCAACTGCAAAAATTACAAACCATATCGGAATCTTTTAAATTCTACTCTCGTGATATGAAAGCAAAAACTGAAATCATTGCATTCAGTCAAAAATTGTGCTTTGGGCTATAAAAATTTGTTGCAATCGCGCAAAGAATGACTCAAAAAATCAAAAACAAATGACGGCTTACAAAAATAATCAATAATGAAATTTATCACAACGAGGAAAACTCAAGAACAAACAGAACTATACTTTGTTGAAAGATGTGCTGGTAAATACATAGAAATGTTTTTTTTTAAAGATCAGTAACTATTTGGAATAACAGTCATCAAAATATATATTCAGATGACGTATTGATTTGAAGAAAAATAAAAGTAAAACATAAGAATTACTATATATCTCTATTCAAAGCAGATTACATTGTTCCAACTAATTGTAAGCTACACAAAAAAAAATCGGCAAATTTAATGAATTTGAAAAACTCAGAACCTAGGCAACTCATGAAGCAGAAAAACTTTTGCCGAAGTATCAAAAAAAAATTTGCATCTTTGTTTATATTCAGTGCTTTCGAAAAATCTAAATTAAAAAAAATAATAATTTTCAAATATGCGCTCGACTAAAATCGTCGAGGTTATTTTGCAGGAAACATTTTTGATAATAATGTTTTCTTATCAATATTCTCGCAATTTGAAGTGAAAAACTCATGTTCTATAATCTGATTGCCTTATATAAGCTGAAAAAGTTCAAAACAACAAGTTCAGACATTTCATTTAATATTTCAAGTAGGTAAAAAGATTAGAGAGAAGATAAAACCCTTGACAAAATTTTCTTGTATCTGCGATTTGAAAATGGTAAATATGAAAAAAAAATTTGGTTCAAATTTGAAGTTAACCGTATTTGCTTTAAATATAGTGCAAATTTTAAACACCATTTTTCAAAGCTAAAAATTACAGCTGAAATGTTCAATAAAAAATTCAATTTATTTTCAACGCCGACAAGTGTTTCAGGCTATTCAAAATCAGATAGCCAACTATGAATTTTTGCTTAGTTCAAAACTTCAATTTTCAGCTGTTTATAAAGTTTAAGTTTCATTTCGGTTGTCCGAACAAATTTGTAAGATAACTTAATGTCCGAGTTTCTGGAATGAAGTTGAAGATAAAATTTGCATTAAACAGTGTTTGCTTGTTAAAACTTTAATCATTTTTATGGTTTATTGAAAAACTCAAAATCGAAGCAAAGATTTTTTAATGCAAACGGTACAATAATTGTGCGGTGTTGTTGCCTCAAGTGCCAAATATAACCAATAATTGAAGCGTGTCAAGTTACGCTTATACTTTGTAATTTGCCAAACTTAAAAAAAACCAACTGTTTTGCTTTGAGATTGTTTTGCTATTTGAGCTAGAGGTAGGTTGATTGCAACCTGCGCATAGAAAGTTTTGATTGAATAATTTTTTTATCTGAAAATTTTTATGACCGGACGATGAAATATCTGGAAAAAAAATACCTCAAGAAATTGTACTGTTAATAATGTAGGAAAGAAAAACGTTCGTTTGGAAAAAATTTTTCGTTGTAACCAGTAGTTTTTCAAAAATGAAGGTCAATTATAGGGCAAATAATTTTAAAAAACAGTGTTACAGAATGTCCCTTTTAGCGCCATCACTTATCATTAACTGAGAGAGTGTTTACAATTGTTTTGAATGGGTGTATTTGTTAAACTATATGCCTTCCATTGACAGTTTTCAAAAATTTTAACAAATTTTGAAGCATTTTATAAAATTTTGGAACAATTTTTTCATCTCTGGTGGAAATACAGCTTGATTGAACAATTGTTCAAAGCTTCCTTTTGTTTATTTTAAATAGTGTCTGCTGTTTGCTGCAGAGTGACCATCCAAAAGCGGTTTATCTTTATCTAGGGCTTAAATAAACGAAACCCTTGGATAGAGTTGTTGGAATATTGTTCGGTGATATTGGGATTTTGGCTGATCTAAGTGGCGATCCGCTCTTTCCTTGGAGATATTCTCACGATTGGTTCCCAAACTCAGCAAGTTAAATTTTTTTTTAAACTCATGCTCACTGTTTTTTTTTGAGTTTTTGAAGTTTCAAAGGATTTAAATAGTAATTAGCAGAAACTTGAATGAGTTGTTTCAATTTTCAATTTCAATAAATTTTTGTTCAAATCAGCATATTTGTTGCAAACACGCTTTTGCAATTTCCCGAAATCAGCTTTCATTTTTAGAAATTTGAATTACAATAATTGTTTGTTTAAATCAGCATATATGCTGCAAACACGCTTTTGCAATTTCCTGATATCAGCATTCATTTTGAATTTGAAAAAAAATGATTTGAATAGCAATTAGAAGATGGGTTGCGAAGCTGATTTTTTCACTATATAATTTTTTACTGATTTCAGGATAAAATGCTTCACACCTGCACTTTTTCGTTTTTTCGCAAAACGTTCAATCATTTGAACGTAATAATTTGAATAGTAATGATTTGAATAAAAATTAGAAAACATTTCAATGGGTTGCGAGACTGATTTTTGTCAGCTGATTGTTGTCTACAGGGGCAGATTTAGGAGGGGGGGCGTTGGGGCGGACGCTTCCCTCCTCATGGATTCGACCCCCTGCCGACCCAAAGGGCCCCCTTTGGCACTTTTTAAGAAATCCGTTTTTGGCCGACCGACCTTAAAATTTTTCTAAAGGCGCCTTTTGCGCCAATATATACTAACTTTGAGGGGGAGCGCACGCCAAAAAAACGCGATTTGTTTTATGTCAAAACTTTCCAAAAAGTGCCCAAAAACGGCTTTTTTTAATCTGTTTTTCAAAAGATTGCCTGCGGCCCAGAGAAATTTGGCAAAAACACTGTCTTTTTACTGCTTTAGGAGAGCTCGGAGAATATCAATTTTGTCGACCCAAAAAAAAGTCGTCTAAATTTTCTTTTTTTAAAAAATCCGTCCCCGTCTCGAGAAAATCCTAGATCCGCCCCTTGTTGTCTATACATGTTTTTGCCGTTGTCAGCATATCTGCTGCACACCTGTTCCTTTTGCACTTTTGCAAAACAAGCATTCATTTTGACTTTGAATATTAATGATTTGTATAGTAATTGTAGAAGAAATTTCGATGGGTAACGAAGTTTACTTTTATCAATTTTTTTAAATTAAATCAGCATATTTGCTGCACACATGCGCTTTTTTGCATTTTCACAAAACATGCATTTATTTTGAATTTGAATAGTATTGATGTACAGTAATTAGGAGAAACTTCAATGGGTTGCAAAATTATTTTCGTCAATATAATTTTTTGCAAATGACAGCATATATGCAGCAGACATGCACTTTTTTGCATTTTTATACGAAACATGCGTTCATTTTCTTTTTGAATCATGGTGATTTGAATAGTAATTAGATAGAATTTCAATGGGTTGCAAAATGATTTTTGTAAACATATATTTTTTGCAAATATCAGCATAAATGCAGCACACCTGCACTTTTTGCAATTTTATGAAACATGAGTTCATTCTGACGTTGAAACATGATGATTTGAATAGTAATTAGGAGAAATTTCAATGGGTTACCAAACT